TACTCCACCGACTCTAGGTACCCACTTTGCCCTCCGTCTTCCTGCCCCGTTGTCCCTCGTAGATGTTCACTACCCACTCAGCCCATGCTTCCAAGAACGTCTGGTTCATCGTTCTTGCCACAGATCCTACCTTTCCATCCCTGATTTCTGGTGCGAACTGCTCTTCTGATGTGCATGCGCGGTGTATGCTCATATTCGATCTTGCAATCGGTACCCTCTGCTGCCACTTTTCTCTAACCTTGTACAACAGCCTCCTTCCACCTCTCCTCGAATGCCGTACATCAATACTCGCAACAACTTAATTTTATTTAAGCCCTAGAGTTCCCCACTCTCTCTTCTTTTGATCCGTGTTCTGGGGTGGAATACTGTTTCCTCTAATGCCGTACATAGTGGTGATGTCGCTGATTTGAGCTGCTCGGCTTGCCAACAGTTGTACTACTTCCAAGAATAAGTTCCGACTAAATCTTGCTTTCCCAGCGAACCGGTCCTCGTCTAGTTCTACATGAACTCTGGTAGTGGGGTTGCATTAGCGATGCACTGCTTGGTTCATATAAGACGAGATATAATAGTAATCATCGTACCAATAAATTTCCGCCTTTTGTTCTATAGAATGCATAGAAGATTCATTGTAGTTACAGCTTATATCAAAGCTTCTTTAGTTATCGGCTTCGAATCTGCAGAAATGTGGAAAAGCTTAGAGCACTGCTAAATCAGGAAAATTCTTTGATTTGTGTCCTCTACTCGGTCTGTTATTCTATGATTGCATCTCAACAAAACAAATCCTTTATTTTTCTCTTTTGGCACCTAAAATCCGCCCCTTCTTTTTCATATGTCAAAGTTGATCTCCTCACGACTATAAATGTTCCTATTGATTTCCATCTCATTCCGCACCCACAATTTTCATGCATTCCTCCCCTTCAAAAAATTGACCACAATCGTCCCGGCAAACCCGATGATGCAAGTATATTCTGCTTATCATTCATTTTGCTTCTGTTTTCTTCACACGACTTTATTGTTCCAAAGTATTGCATATTTTTCTTCTATTTTTTGCTTGTCTATGCATGTTAGTAGATAGATGCTGTTTTGATCATAGTTGGAAGAGCATTCGGTACATGTAAGTTAGGGCAAAGTCGCATCATGGAAGATGTTAGAAGCATTAAAATACCAATTTTTGATCGCTTTCTGTAAAGGACTGTAGTCGTCTGAGGAGAATTAATTGATAGGTCTCCCATATCAACATGTCGGTCCCATATATCAGCATTATTGTAGAAATAATAAAAGGGTTACGTACCGAATGATACTGAGTTGTATGATGTACTACTACTGCTGTTTCATCGGATTGAATTAATACTTGTGTCCTATTCAACTTCCACCGTTTTAATCTCTAGTACTATTGTTGACATTAAAAAGTATTTGGAGGAGTATTTATTTACTTGGGATAAGTTTTTGATGGTTCATGAATTAAATAGAATGACCTTCAATGAGTATGGATGCTAACTTCACTTTCTTGACAAAGAAAGCTACAGTGCCTTCTCATCATAGATCGCCGATAATAAAAAAGGTAAAAGAATCAAGCAACAGCATTGACATCTTTTGATTTCACTCTCTATAACTTTGGTGTTAATTATTAGAAATACAAGAAACACTTCCTGGATCTAATTGCTCTCTGATAGTTGTATCTTCTTGTCTTTTGTCGAGAAATTTTACATAGGCATGTCTAAGTTGAATAGAGGATGTCGCTACAAACTAACAGCCAATGCTTGAGCTTTTGATTTTATATCAAAAACGTGGAAGAAAACTGAAAGTTGCTTATTCCTTGCAGTATGGAAAAGATTCTTGATCGTTACCAGCGCTACTCATATGCTGAAAGAGCCCTTGTAGATGCAGACACTGAATCCCAGGTAACATGTGTTTGAAGACTGGATGATTCATAGCCTAGAACGTTGGTGGATGGCTTACAGCATGTTGATCTTGTACGCAGGAAAACTGGTGCCATGAATACGAGGTATTGAAGGCAAGGATCGAGGCACTACAAAAATGTCAAAGGTACCGAGATGGCCATCGCAAATTAAACTAATGTTTTTACTTGCACAAAAATGTTACGAGCATTATCTTTTTGTGCTTACTTCAGGCACCTCGTAGGCGAACAACTTGACAAATTGACACTTAAAGAAATCCAACAGCTGGAGCAACAACTTGAGGCAGCTTTGAGAAAAATAAGATCAAAAAAGGTGAATTAAAATCCATTTATGTAGCCTATCAAAAATGTTCAATTTTCTGATAGCCATCCGTGCATGCAAAGGAAGTTGCTAATGTTCTTTTTCTTTTTTCTTTCATTTATTGTAGAACAATGTGCTGTTTGATTCCATTGCTGAGCTTCAAAGAAAGGCAAGTCCTAAAATCTTTACTCGAATTCAAGTTCATATTTGTTTGATTTTATTAGTCAGGTCGGTAAAACCTAATAACAACAAACTTCAAACTAGTTGGACCAATCCAGTCCTACTTACCACCGGGATTAGAAAGAGACTCCGACATTTGGTTTTGATTCTGAATTACTATGATAATTTGCAACCCTACTCAATTCAATATGCAGCACCTGCATAAACCCATAATATTGCTTTTGCAGTTAGCAATATAGCAGTGACGCATACCAACTGCTATTTTTTGTAGCATGAATTATTTACACGGATAATATCTAAATGTTATTTGCTCTTTCTGAAAGTTAAGCATGCATTCATGATTGATGTAAATATCTTCTCAAATAATAAAAAATATTTAAGTAATCTTTCGTTATATTATAAAATCGGATCTAACCCAGTCTGTCTGTTCATGCCAGTTACCCGAAAACCAACCGGATCAATTGTTCATTCTGATTTTTCAACAAGAGCGGATTCTTCACCAAGGATAATATTCTTTTGATAGAGAATGTGCTCTACTTGTTGATTCTTTTTGTTTACCTGTTCTCCACCTCATGACACCCTAAGCATTCTTCTGTGGACAACTCGAGAACGTCCATCTTAGGAAATGATAGATAGATAGTAGAATGCCAATAACAATTTGGAAATTTCTTCCATATATATACACATTATCTGTTGGTACTTCAGGTACAAATCTATGCCTGAATAGCCTTTATTTTCTTGCAGGAGAGGGCGCTGCAAGCACAAAACAGTGACATGGCAAAGAAGGTAAACTATAAAATGTTTGACCTTATTTATTCGTCTTATTTATAGACCTCAAGTTTGATCAAAATGTGATTTGGTTCCAAAATAGCTTATGGAGAAAGACAAGGCTGAGGAGCTGAGCCAACACCGACAAACGGAACAAGCAGCTCAAGCCCAGGCCAGCTCCTCTATACCACACTTGCTCTCGATAGAATCTACCATAAACATCAGGTACACACTTCCTATAAGCATCTCTTGTACTAGGTATTACTAGAGTTCATATTACAACAGTCTTCAAGAATCAGGTTAGCGTTTCATGGGAAGTAAGTAATCATCGTTAGCTGCTTAGTAAGAGAAAACTAGCCGTGTATGTAGGTGTTGCATTGCCGTGTTTGATTCGGCAGACGTACTTCTTTTCCTTGCAATAATATTTCATGAGCATTCTGAACCCAAATTTCTGGGCGTCAAGCTTTTTGACTTTATACATTTCTCTCGAACAATGCCTTGCTCCCCCAAATAAAAAGAGCATAGAATCGAAGAGCACATGGTGGGCAATGAATGAAAAAATATTTACTTGTTAATTCTTGTTGCTTTTACATAATGTTATTCTTTGAGGCTAATTACAAATTACCTACTGTAATTAGCTAACTCTAGCATCCTAATCTCTGTACTTGTGAAATATTGAGATCGATTATACAGGATTAATATGATAATTTTATAGAGCAAAAAAATCGAGAGAAATATTTTGTTAAAATGGTAAGGTTAAATGTTTTACTTTCGAAAGTATAAAGATCTCAATATAATTTTTAAAAATATAAAAATTAAAAATACTAAAGATAACTAATTACATCGAGAAATTTATTTGACAGCTAAAGTTGACCTTGCATAGTTAGTTTTTGATCTGGTTGAGGGATGAGCATGCAAAGTGGCAGAGACCAACAGTTTTGTAGGCTCAAAGTCATTTGTCAGTTGAATTTGCATAATAGATTAATTGGCATGTCAGTTGAATTTGCATAATAGATTAATTGGCATGTCAGTTGAATTTGTACTCATATTTCTCCTCATTAAACATCTTATCAAGCAAGAAACAATCAGAGCAAAGGTGGTATGATCAATCTAATATTGCAGAAACCACCAACCCACGGGCTCAGTCGTGGAGGAAGCCGCCGAGCAGTCCTTCGCCCGGTGTAACGGCGCTGTTCTGCCACCATGGATGCTTCGCCTGTGAAGGACGGACTGAGACGCGGTTCCCATGCAAGTCCAGTTACTATTTGTAGTAAGTATAATCCAAGTCAAGCTGTGGAGTGTTTTATCCCTCCGACCCATTTTCCAATTTGGACTTGGAGCAATCCGTCAGAAGTCTCCCTGTAATGCATTTTCTAACCTATGCTTCTATCGTGTGCGATAGCTCGTTTGTATATATCGAAAACAATACTGTAAAATAATGGACGTTAAAAACATTGTGGGGCTTCTAATTCTCGGTTCCTTTGTGCAAAGGTATTCTAGTAACAACCGATGGTGCTGCATCTTTTGCTTATGTCCTCCCTCTGCAGCTGTACCGATTCATTCGAGGTAGGAAAAAGAGACTCCTGATTACCTTTACCTCATGATTCTTGGATGAAACCTTCTGCAGCTTAAACATTGTTCCGAGACTACATCTCTCGCGGAATTGCTAGTAAAAACCGAAGAAATTGTCTTTTTTTTTCCTTTCTGTTGCCAATTGTGGCGATAAAAATTTTGCCAAAAATCATCGAGTAGATCGGAATCGGAGCAATCAGGTCAATCATGTGCTCTCGAGCTCATCAACAACAACAACTGATGGAAAAAGGAAAAGAATTGCTACTCCAAGGAAACAGGATCATATATTGTATTCACTTTTCACTAGGAAACCAAATTGCTACAGGAGGGCATCCTTCAAGCATCTTCAGAATGACAAGGTCATGAGTGTCACTTTCTACCGTCAGGACAAATTCTTACAAGAGTTTTTCTTGATAGAAGACGACTGGAATGACAATAACAACATTTCTTTTTCTGTACAAACATCCAAGCAACTGTCTGGGCAGCTATGTATACATCAGTATGGAGGCAACAGAAGAACCGTAAAAATCTATATGAGCGAATAAGTCACGGTTGACTTCATTCGTATATACTAAAATATTCACCAATATCAAAGCCTGTGAAACGACACCGGAAGACTTATGGCATTGATATATACTTCATGATATATGTATATACACACTATGAAATACGAAGTACACATATTCCCTGCATATGTCCAAATGAATAAATTTATCAAAGATATATGTGGAATGATCATGTTGCTTCCTTGAATACCATCATCTGTTAAAAGAAAAATGAAAGCACGTAAGTAACCACTGATGCGGCACATAAAATCAAAACATTTTCATAAACAACCCGGATCAACATGTCTTTTGTTGCTATATATACTGAAACTTTGTGAAGATCCATATTTCAGCACTTGGATGCCTGGCTGAAGAAATGTTTAAATGGGCGAGTTACTTGTTTCAACAACAAAGTCCATTATGATTGTATTGGAAGTTCAGTAATGAATTAAATTTAGACATTTGTAGCAACCTCCAGTCAACTTGAGTTAATTCCCTAGGTAAGCGACAAAGACAGTAGAACACGGAGTTGGCACAAAATAACTTTGTGATAATTCATTGCCTAATGCCTTACAAAGGTTTAAATAATAGGAAATGACAAGCAGCTGTAGTGTTGCATTATGTGATCTTACGTTCACAATGAAGTATAGAGCATGAAAAAGAAACGATTAATGTGCAGAAATATGCCAAATGAACCAAAGCTGATTACAGTGTAGTCAGCCACTGAAAGGAGGCGTATTGTGCAGCAGTATATATTTCATTAGTAGGCCATTCGAAATATATAATTCCCAAAAACCGTAAAATATCCTGAAAGTGTATGTCAGAATTCAAATACCACCGTTTGGAATTTGGAACACGGTATGAGATGAGAAAAATCATAGTGCCAAGAAAATGAGTCATAAATTTAACCAGATTAATGTTACATGTCCTGAAATGCAAAATATATAAACTATAATTTCTTCTTTAATATGATGTTGCAAGGTTAGGACCCTGAATTTATCAGAAAAGTTGAATTGAAAATTAAGTTTTTCAACATGAAATATAAATAGTAATTTCTTGCATTTTGAGAACAGTTGTTAATTACATGATCACTGATACATGTCAGCGGTGGATATAAGAAAGTTGGGATATTAGAAAGGCAATGCACGTAGAGGACAGTTTGTTGGTTGTGACTATTGAAATCAAACAAGCAACTCCTATAAGTAGATGTATGGTCTATTTGCAGGATACTATCTATTTGCTAAAATAAATGGTACAAGCTGCAGATCTTAGAACTCCAGGGACAGTACCAAGCAATTGTTTTATCTAATGCATCATGTTTGATTTATTTTACATATTGATGTTATCTTAGATCGCATGGCCTATAAATTCAACATAGACTACAATAACAAAAATGTCATTAGTATATGAGGATTGATAAAATCAATGGTAGATAATGACAAACTAGTTACCTTGCCGCAAACAGGACATGCATCACTTCTCTCCATCCACTCATATATACAACCAAGATGGAAATGATGAGAGCATTGCATTGTTATCTTGGGGTCTTCAGAAGTATATTCTGCAAAGCAACGTCAAAGATCAGAATTTTATGAATACATCTAAGTACAATTGACCTTTATTTCCTGAATAATTTATTATGACATCATCAAGTAAATGTAAGCCCAATTACTGTCAATATTGATTAAGCATATACAGGGTGTAATTTTCTTCTTTACACAAGGCGAAATGTCACAAGGCAGAAATATAATGATATATAACTGATATTTATGAGAGGAATGTTTAGATATTTTAGTCACCTTTTGAAGGTTGCTATTAAAACATAGTGATCTCCTTAATTGTACAGCATGTCAAGAAGTTTGCGCCAATCAGTTAAGCCAAAAGGTAAACTTAGTTTAGCCAATACTTTAGGATAATTTATTTATTATTAGATAGGCATACAATAAAAGTAAATAACCAGATCTCTCAATTTACCTTCAAGACATGTTGGACAAACATCCTCATCTTCAGAAGAAGGAAAAATATATGTTACTTCTTTTCTGGCTTCGGCAGAGAAGTGATTCAATGAAGACTCAGGCTGACATAGTTTGGATCCTCCATCATAGTTTGACTTACACTTGCCTTTCATCTTTGATTCTGTCTCACTATTAGTGTTACTTCTAAGTGGTTCAGATTCCTGATGAAAATGGCTTAAAAATTTTTCATGCCTTGAGATAAGGCCATCATGCTGAGTAAATCTAGGATCATCATATGGTATAGGCCTGGGAGGAGAGTGATATGTATCAGGTACAGAGTCATCCATGGTTAATGCTGGAGAAGCAAGAGCAACTCTTTCCTGTAAAGATGAAGGAACAGCATGCATATCCTCTCTTCGAAATAGTGCAGTGTACTGCAAGAAGGAAGTTCAAAAATGGCTTTTCTCACTATTGGAAACAGTCAATATGGACAAAAGTTCTTCTCTAACATTTTCTGAAAGACAAAAAAGTATATAACAGTCAAGTTTAACATCTAGCTCCCCATCATTACCTTGAAGCATGTCCTAATACAAGATGTTAGTTTCACAATTAATTTTCAGTAAGTTTGTCCTATCCAGACTCAAACTGCTTTGTACATAAATCAATCAAAATATAGCCAACTAAATAAAGGTCGGCTGTCAATTAACTCAAGACAGTGCATCTTCACAACAAACTTGTACAAAGTACCAGTATGTTTTTATGTTGAAATATGGAAATTATTTGATCTTTCAAATTGTCATTTTCAAATTCAACCTTATTATTATCTCATATGAAGAATACCCTATTGCTCATGAGTTCATTGAGCAACTCACCTAGTCTCATGGGTAAAACCGTAAACAACATGTCAAGTGGTAGCATATTTTATCAGACTATCCCTATTAGGACCTGAGTCCGATGGAATAACTGACCCATCAATTTCGTTTGGCCTAAACTACTAGCCAAAATATTTAAGCTAAAATTGATAGCAGTACACTCATCAGACCTTTATAAGTCTTAGTCTTGTCTACTTCCAACGTGAAACTAATAGGGGTGTTATAAACTCTCCAATTTAAAGGCTTGACGTCCTCGTCAGGACCCAGAATAGCCCAAATCAAACTCTAGTATGGTACATGTGAGGTGTAGTTCGATGATAGCTCCACGCCGTGACGAATTCTCGAGCTTCATCCATGGGTAGTCCTTTCCTGCTCAAGCCTGTTAGATAACTGAACCATCATCTTCGCTTGGCCTAAGATCACTAGCCTAAATGCTTAAGCTGAAGTTGATAGTAGCATACTCATCAAACCTTTATAAGTCTATCTTAATCATGATCACTTTCAACGTAGGACTAATCAGGGTGTTACAATACCAACAATTGTACAGGTTATGCAAGCACAACATTGAGCTATCATAGTAGCCATACCTGCCAACAGACTAGTATAAACAATGTTCGATAACTAAGTTTAGCTTCTACAAACCAAAAATAAAGTTTGCTATCTAGACTTCTAGTTAGCTATATACTTCATTTTTGTTCATTTAATTTTATCCAAATGTAAGTACCTAAAAGGAAGAGAATCTAAGATTGCTTCTTAAGTCTTCCTAAAACAAGACATGCCTATTAGTCTCCCATAAAAAAGCTACTCTTTACCATATCTCAAAATCATCTAGCATAATCTTGAAGCCAAAATCATTCTTATTTTCCAATCAATCACATGACATCGAGTTCATTCTACAGCCCATCATCACACTATGGGAGCCAGCAATTTCCAATGTCTGTGCTTGCGAGGAGGGGATAACACATAAACCAAGGGTCAGTCTCTCTTATTTTTCTCTCCCCACCTAGAGCTTCTAGTTTAAATTGACGGACCTTGCCTTATTCATGAAGAGGTCTCCATTAGACAAGTAAAAATCATCTTAGAATGATTCCCCTTAGCTATCCCTAGTTAGTGTTACCTCCAACTTAGCAGAAAAAAGGAATCGTTCGACTTGTTCCATTATATAATGTCATTTTCTGCTAAAGTTAACTTTAATAATATACAATCTATTTTAAGCTCAAGGTAAATTGAATTACCTGACAGCTCATATTAGCTTCTTCCGGAGTCCAGATAATGATTTGACACACTTGATATTTGTGAAGCTACAAGTTTAAGTGCCTTCCAATGTCATACATGTAATACAGGATCCCTTTTATATTTCTCTATAAGACAATAACTTCTAGGAGAAAAGCTTATGAGTAATACTTAGAACTCCTGAATGTTGTATACTACTGATCTATGTATAATTTACTGATTGGAGCTTGTATCTTTGATTGCTCATGTCGTGTATGTCCTGCACATGAAGCGCATAGGACTGTAAACTTTGATTATGTCAAAGTATTTTAATATTCTCTCTTGCATTATTGTAGGTATTCAAGAACAGAAGCTGCAAGCTAAGATTCACAGTATAAACTATAAAAAGCTAGGATAGAGACCAAAGCAGTAGAATGAATTTTTTTACTAACAATATGCAGGAATATGAGGTCAATTATTTGTTTTTATATTACTAAGCTGATCTAAGCAACTTGGACGAAAGCTAACAAAAGGTGGAGCTGCAAGGCATTGCAACGAGGACTTCACTCTTTTTGCAGTTATGTAAGTATGTAAGCTTCCGGACGTAGACATTTCGCAATAATTACAAGAAAACACGTACCACACTCATCAATTGCTGAGCCAAGCATCCGAGGCAGATGCAGTTTCTGGAATTTAAAGCATTGGAACGTCGATATTCCTCAGTGTCTCCTGCAAGCAAGCAAGAACAGACAGACCCCATACTCCCAGCTTCACTTCCCTGTTCAGATCTATTATTCTGATGGCACTCTCCTCTCCCAATCCTACGACCTGATTACATCAAGCTTTCCGGAAGAAATTTCCCGTTTTCCTCATCTAAATAAAGATAACTCGAGGTAAAGCAAACGAATACTTTGACAAAAGCGAACAATTCAGTAAGTTTAAGAAGACAACTAAGTGAGAAACATTTGCGATTTATCTGGCAAGAAATCACAGCATCAGCCGCACCCTGAGAACCAATACTCGCAAAAAAATAGATGCATTAGCTTCAAAGACCATGGAACCCACCAAGAAGAGCTAGCAAACAATTCCATATACCAAAAAGAATTCCAAGGATACAAAACCCCTACATAAAAAATAATCGAGATCGACAACCAAATAAGTGATCTTTAGAAATAAGAAACACGGATCCACAAGAGACCAAAGACTTCGCCAGCCATCAGAATCCCTTCATTCTTTCTCGTCCAGTTCTGTTTACAGAACGAATTCCCGGCCGCCGAAAACAAGATCCAGAACATAAGCTGCCTCAGGAAAACAAAATCTAACTCGTTTCTGTCAGAAAATCTGAAATCCACCAATTCTATCTTAAAATCTTCCAGATCAAAAATCGGGCACATCGAATTTAAGGATAATTACCAGTGGATGCAGCGAGACACGCATCGATCACAATCATCGGAATCAAGAAATCTCTGCGAAACCCACAAATTTTATGCGCCCCTCTTTGGTGTTTCTCGGGATTGGAATCTCCTCCTCCTTCCTCTTTGGTAGACTTCGCCGACGGCGAGGAATTCAGGAGGAATGAATACCGAGCGGCGATTCCGAGCTCGTTATTAGAAGGGCACTGATTTGCTTTACCGGGTGTCAGATGAAGCGGTTGACCCGCTTACACGACATGGATCCGATTCCCTCTTCTTTTGTTCTTTTTGGAAGGATACAACCGAAGGATCCGATATCCAACCCGATATTTATCGAGCACGATCTTTCTTGCCCGATCCGAATTCTTATTTGGGTCCAATGCAACTCCTTAAGTGGAGCGGGACCCACCTGTCTTGCTTCGATGTTGGTGCTTTCTTTTCGCTGCGAACAATCAACACATATCGGTATAACCGACACACTTTTTTGTTGTAGGCTATACAAACTCGGTAACAGTTCTTATCCGAATTCCGGTATAACATAGCCCACCGTTACATTCAACATATATCTGTGCAAATAATGCAAATAGATCACTCGGAGATTGTGACCGTCATTGAATGTATAGCAACCGTTACATTGATACAGCTTCCGTCCAACTGTAGCAGCTTCTTCTTCTTCTTCTTCCTCGCCCTATGGTACTCGGTGCGAGGAATGAGGGTGAGGTTGAATGCTTGCATCCATCAGCCATGAGAATGACTTTGGTGAGCAAATTCATGCAATATTCTGCACTGAAAGCTTCTCTGTCCCAAATCAAATCACTTTGGTTCCTCCAATGCACCAAGATGTTCGTTATTGATGTCGTGCTTAGATCTGCCAATTCGATCAACGCTTTCATGGCTACCACGTTGAGAATGGAGCCCGCTGCACCCAACAAGGGAAAGAAGAGGGACCATGGCCTCAAAGACAAGCTGTGACAGTTGTGCTGCCTTCACTACTTTCTCCCCCTCCCCACCACCACCGCCTCCTCCTCTCCAGCTTTACGCTTCGGTTTCAGAGGAGGAACCTTTGGATCAATGGGAAGGACTAGCACACGGCTACCAAGCTTCTGCTTGAACCGCGTCACCACACGCGTCAGAGTCCGGTCTCCGGCGATCGAATCGAGGCCTCTGTCTCCCCAGGCAAGCAAGGTTAGCAGCGTGGACGATGAGCTCGCCGCTGATGGAGCTACGAAAGAGATGGAACACGGTAGAAGGATCATGATCGTGGTGGACAGGAGCTCAGAGGCCAAGGCTGCTCTCCACTGGGCGCTCTCGCACTCTGTCCAGAGCAACGACACCGTCGTCCTCGTCGAAGTCACGAAGCCATCGAAGCACGGTAACGCTCGGAAATGGTGTTTGTTGGTAGAGCAGTGTGTTTGTGTCGAAGTAATCGGGTCCGCTTGTGAGTGACAGGCGAAAGAACTCAGCGGGAGAGACATCCAAACGGCTATGCGCTTCTCCATGATATGAAGAGAATTTGCCAAGCAAGGAAACCTGAGGTAAATATGTTACGGTTTCTTCCGTATCAGAATTGTGTGCTGTGACATTTCATCAAACAGTTAGCTCAAATCAAGTTAGCTGTATGAACAAGAGTAGTATTAAGAACAGCGTTATGACCAGGAAGATGCTGAGACCCCTCTTCACTCAGTCTGAAACAACAGGAGAGAGATCTTGAAACATCAACCTTCAAAGGCAGGAGATGGCTTTGCTTTGAGCCCCACGCTTTGCTTTCAGACAAAGGATCATGTCATGAAGCTGACAAGTCATAAATAATAATGCAGCTATAATTGTCTCAATGATCTCGATCCTCATTAAGCTAAGACTAATAGTACAGTAATCATCCAAGTGGAAGGAAGTAGTCAAACCATCGTCTTCCTCGTTGTTGTTTTTGTTGTCCACAGGTGCAAGTCGAGCTGTCTTTGGTCCCGGGAGAAGAGCGAGGGCCGGCGATCGTCGGAGAAGCCAGCAAACGGGGCGTCGTCCTCCTCGTCATGGGGCAGAGGAATCGATCAGTGACATGGCGTTGGGTGATGATGTGGGCAGGCAGTAAGCCGGGAGGCGACGCGGTGGACTACTGCATCCGAAACGCCACTTGCATGGCTCTGGCCGTGAGGAGGAAGAGCAAGAGAGGCGGCGGCTACTTGATCACCACCAAGCGCCACCGAGATTTCTGGCTTTTAGCGTAGTGTTGGAACCGATGCTTGTCTGTGTTCGAACGAGGTGTGGCTTGAGTGCGGTGTGTTTTGTTGGTCATCAGAGCATATTAATCTGTATGCCATTTGCATGTGAATTGTAGGTATCATTAATTCTGTTGTTTTTCTCATTTGTTTCACATGTGCTCTTTTTTATTTTTTTTCCCCCTTATTTTTATATATAATAATGAGATTTAAATGATATATATGATGCCCATATATATATATCTATTTACTATTCAACTCAAATGTGTTGATAAAAATATTTTTTTAATATATATGAATAATGTATATTCGACGGTGATTTGGACAGGTGGTCTGCTTTATGATCTGCGCATGCACTTGATTGCCCAGCGTAGAAATGTTGTAAGACATTTACATTTCAACGGTGGGTTGACAATTATTAATCAAATTAGAAATATGACAATTAGATATCTAAAGATCACACAAGGATATAAGATGGAAGGTGTTTGATGCGTGGGGTGTCATTGACTATAGCAGTATCATAGCTTGATTCGATCTGAAGGCGTAACATTGTTCTGGAGACCCTCGAAGGGATCATATGAGATAGTGGGAGTGGGACGAAGACCCGGTTGGCACGGTCTCGTGACGTTACACACTCGTCGAGTGCGGGTTTGGTATCACCATAAGGTGCATTTGAACTTTGTTGAAGTTTCTATACAAACGATCAACATTGGGGGAATGTTCCCAACTTGACCCCCTCATATGGTAAAGTTAGTACAGAACAATAGAGCGCTTGCCCCTTTAGGCTTTGGGATTGGCTTTTGTACCTGAGCGATTGATGGAGGACAATTGATAATTCATCTTGAAGCCCCTCACGTTGTTAGAAGCTCATTTATGTCGATAGTTAGTGAGCACGTCTCCCTGATGGTTGCATTAGGAGAGGATAGTTATGAGAGTGTCATTTGTTAGGGCTGGAGTTTAGCTGTGATAAGTTGGAATGGTCCTTAGTGTCAAACATCAAGAATGGAGAACTGAGCCATATCGCTTGGGATTAATGCTTAGTGTGTTCAAGCATTCGAACCCTCTTGAAATCATGATCAATGAAAGTGACGAATCGCTAACGATAAGAGAGAATAGGCCTCACTACTAGGTATTAATGTTTTCAACAATAGAGTCGTGCGACTTTCTTAGGGATTAAGATGGACAGGGTCGAAGGGTTATCCTCCTACCGACGATTACAAGGGAAGGGGCAAGGGCTCTCCCGCACACGTCATTTCTCATATAGTGGTTCATGATAAGTATTGAATCATCTTCTATCATTTTCTCCTACACAAAATTTATTTGATATCCTATACAATATATTTTATAAAATTTTATCAAAAATTATTATAATTTGAGTAAATTATATTTTCTAAGCCTATAGAAAAAAAAAAAGAATTTAATCAGCTCAGCACATGAATGAATAAGAAACAAACAAAGCTAGATGACAAAATATTCTGGGAAAGCACTTCCAAGAATTTTATTATGGAAATAAACATAATATTGAAAAAATATATCATCACATTAATGAACCAAAAACAAAAGTTTAGTTGGAGGGTTTTTTTAATAAAATAATATTAAATATAAAAAATAAAAATAAAAAATATTAATCATCGTTTTTATGACAGGACATTTAACCATCATACGGTATATTTTAATTGTACGTGTAGCTTCCCTTTCCCAAAATCCCCAAATCCAACGCCTTCCACATTATTACACCGGCAGGCCTTCCTACCATGTAAACGCGATTAGATTAGCGCATCACTTCCTCTGCGCTCCTCACCGGATCCTTCCTCTTGAAGGCTTTGGATCTTCACCTTGTGGTCGCAGTTCTGAGGTCGCCGATTTGGTCCGGATCGTCGTTCTCTCGGGATCCGACTCCCCGGACCAAGTCGTTTGACTGGTGTTGTCTGGATCGGGTGGACATGCGGCGGAGGGCGCCCGAGTTCCGGCGCCCGGCCAGAAGGCGGCTCTCGTACTGGATATGTTTGCTAATTGGGATCTCGATCGCCGCGGGACTCGTTCTCTTCCTCTTTCAACACCACCATCAGGATCGATTTGAGCCGCTCTTACGGGTATGTTCTTGTTGTTCTGTATGTTTTCTTTGGGCTGCTACTTCTCGTTTTGTTGCCCTGGATCGGTCGAGTGTCTAGATCCTATGATCTGGTTTTGTTGGTCACAGAGATTTACGGAGATTGGTTTCTTTGAAAATTTTCGCTTTCATATGACATTCTGAAACCTCGGAAGGATTTTTAGCTGGTTTATCAAATGAAGATATCTAGGATCTGTAAGAACGGAGAAATTGGGTACCAAACTAGGAATTTTCTTTTCGCCCTTTCGTTGCGTATCCTATGTTGTAGATCATTTTCGACGAAGGAGTGAAAGTCATCAAACTGCAGCCCCCGCACTCGAGTCATAGTTTTTTATTAGTTCATGGAAGGTACTTCGTTGGACGAATCACGATGGAAGCCGGTTGCCTAATTTGAGCGGAGGGAGTTAGTTACAGGGATTAGGTATGATGTCCCTGTGGCTGTACCATCAGTCCATTGGAACTTTATCAGGTTGCTAATTGCATACCGAGAAGGATTAACAAGTACAAAGTTCTGTAATCTTTTTGTAGCAACTTTTTTTATTAAATAGAGACATTTATTACATGGTGGCTGGGATGAGATAGGAGACCGATGATAAATTTGTACATGATCATGATATTGGATGTTGCTGACAATCAATGACTAAAAATGGTTGGAATGCTTTCGGAACATATTTCTTACTTTGTGAAGCTGATAAGGTGCTTGAGTTATTGGTGCTATTTATAGGCTACTAGTTGTACTATGTGATATGCTCATGAATTTGAGAATGTACTATATGAGTTGATAATTGGACGATCATAGAAGATCCAATTTTTTCGTAAATACACTCAAAGTTGTTGACTAACCCATTACTGGACGTCTTCCCTGGAGTGCATTTTACTCCACTCCCTTTTATCGTAGGGCATTTAATTGAAGATCTATAATGGTTTTTTGAAGATAAAGTTTTACCAATGATATTTGAATTTGTTGATCAAACCATTTCTGTTGATGCTAGAAGTCCTTTCTGAAGTACATAAAACCTTCTCCCTTGATTGTGATCAATGTGGATGTTCCAGAGTAATCTCTTCATACAAGATACATAATGGTTGTGTGGTTCCTACCAGAGTGCATATCTACATTGTAGGACTAACAGGATATTTTAGCTTCTCAGACTAATGACTAAGTTGTTACATCATCTAATCTCACTTTACCTATATTATATAATGGGGCTACAAACAGCAATGACCTATTATCAATTAGTTCTTCATCCCATGTGTTAAGACTTGCCCTTCTTGGTAGCTCAGTTATACTGATTTGTTTTGATGTGTTTCATACAAGGTTCATCGTACTGCTGCATACCGCCTGGTATGGGCGGTACCGGTCTAACAGAGGATCGATACGAGCAGTACATATTGATTTGTTGGTATATCCTATCGTACCGTGTGTCAATATGTTGGTACATACCATACCGACATTCAGTCGGTACATTGGTACAGGCCGGTAAGACGAACCATGGTTTCATATACTCAACTTGGTAGCATTTACTGGTATCTTCATTAAGATGATTTCTGTTTGTCCCATATATGGTAAGTCTTGCCCCTTTTGGTAGCTCAGTTATACTAATTTGCTTAGATATGTTTCATATACTCTACTCGGAACCATGGTTTCTTATACTCGACCCATCTTGATCTTCATTTTGCCTTTGATCTCTATCAAACAGCAGTCACTTGTGTTGATTATTTGTTTATTCGGCAAATCATAATCATTAATGTTCTTCCCCACACTTCCCAGAAAAGTATGTATACTTGCTTATATATTTAAAGATTGAACCTTGATTAACAAATCACAGAATCTTCTAAAATATTATGACAAAACTTTTCAAAATTTTCATTCCATAACAATGTTTCGTGGCTCACAGTAAACCAACATTCTTCCAACAAGAGCTTTCATTTAGGCGTTCTGATGGACTGTTATCTGTCTCAAGCAAGGGTTTCTGTGCAAACTGCCATATAATAAAATTTGGCAAAGAAAGTTGAACCGAGAAATCACTACTAAGATGTTATTAAGTTGTTCCCTTGCTTCTGCTAATAGGATATCTTTCTCCATTTATTAAATTCCTTAGCCAAATAAATCAAAAGATTCATGTTTGGTTCGGGAATAGATCGTGGAAGTTATAACATTGTGGTAAGATAATCTACTTTCACTAAATGAATCATTAGATAATCGAAAACAGAGGATTTTTTAATACTTTTTTTCCAGAGGCTTAAGTTTCCTTTCAATTTGCTTTTCTTTAAGAAATGTATATCTTCATGAAATAATTCATATGGTCTCAAATATGTAAATATCCAATTAAGAATCATGAATTGCTAACTGTGACCTCTGCCCTTCATGTAATTGTTATCAGGAGTCTATCTTAGATACACTTGCTTTTTTCAAACCCACTGATCTTTCTTGTGCATGACGTTCATCATGGATACCTTCTGGAAAGCTGGAAAATGAATTGTAAGGAATTATGCAAACCACTGGCTATTGCAGTCATAAAATCATTAGAAGCAAGGCTGCAATAAGATCTTTAATGTCATTCATTCCTTTATTTCTTTGGCTATACCTATTTTCTTGAGATGTTGCAATTATCTTTCTTAGTATCTCAGTGCTTGACTCATGGAATTTTTTTCTTGTGTCTTCAACAACTTGTTATAAAGTCCTGTCACATCTATCAGATGCAAGCGTCTAACTTGACCAAATGTATATTCTTGTCTTAGAATTCTTGCTGATAATGGCATCCATTCTCAGAATCCATCACTGACATCTGAACACTCTGAGGTGGAATTTTACTCCTTACTGCTACACAGTATTGCTTAAATTCAATTTGCTACACCTTTTGAATCATTAGTTTCTTCAAATTAAGTGAAAAAGGAGAAAAAAATTGCTTTGCTATCTGAACAAATTTTGAAACTATTATTTGTATCTATCTATATATACATTTTGAATTCACCAAAAAAGAAAATCTTAGAGAACCATTGAGTTGACTTCTGTAATCATGCCAAACATTTGATAAACTGAATCATTATCTTCCCTTTTATCTCACAACTTAGTTGATTCTGACCTGTTATCGAAGAAAGTTGCAATAAATAATAGAAATTATTTTTTGGAACTTCATGTCCAATTTGTGGATTGGATTCTAAAATATGGAACAAGAAAAGGCTTATTTTGCTAGCTATAATCAAGTTTATTGTATATTTGCTTGTAGTAATTTCTTGGTTTAGTTGTGTTCGATCTGATTTTCTTAAATCTTTCTTTAAAATGGAACTTTAGAAATAATGTCCTTGCAACTTGAATCTGGATGTAAGTTTTCTTAGTTGAGTGAGCAGTCTGCCAAAGATCATTGTCACATATCGTTGTGTGATCATTACATGTTGTGTGATCATCCTTGTGTTTTGAAAAACATGAAGGTTTTATGCTTGTAAGCTTCTCAGGGTTTCTTTGTTTGCTTCATCCAGGAAAAGGTTGTAGCTGATGAGGAAATCACTCGTGAATCTCTAAACCTCACCCAGGAGCTGTTAAGTAGTAGTTCCTACGCCAGGCAACTTGCTGATCAGATGACACTGGCCAAGGCTTATGTAGTCATAGCCAAGGAGCATCACAACCTTCAGCTTGCATGGGAGCTTAGCTCACATATAAGGAATGGTCAACGTTTGCTCTCTCAAGCAGCTGTGAGAGGGAAATCAATCACCCTAGAAGAAGCACATCCTGTCGTGAGTAGACTAGCACAGCTTATATACAAGGCCCAAGATTTCCATTATGACATTAGCACTACAATAACAACACTAAAGAGCCACACACTTGCTCTTGAAGAGCGTGCAAATGCAGCAACTGCACAGAGTGCAGAGTTTGGCCAACTGGCTGCAGAGACAATGCCCAAAAGCCTCCACTGTTTTAACATAAAACTCACAGAGGAGTGGTTTAGAAATTCGTCTCTTATGAAACTGTCAGAAGAGCGAAGGAACTTGCCTCGACTTGTTGACAACAATCTATACCATTTCTGTATATTCTCTGATAATGTGATGGCAACTTCTGTTGTCGTGAATTCCACAGCCTCTAATGCTGATCATCCCCAACAGCTTGTGTTTCATGTGGTCACAGATGAGGTCAACTACAGGGCTATGACTACTTGGTTTCTCAGGAATGATTTTAGTGGATGTACAGTCGAGGTTCGAAGCATAGAAGAGTTAAATTTGTTGAACACCTCTTTCTCTCCACTGGTCAAACAGCTAATGCTTGCTGAAACTAGAGCTTATCACTTTGCTGGTAGTTCACAAGATCAGAATGCGGAATCAAGGTTGAAGGACACTAATTTTGCTTCTTTACTAAATCACTTGCGGTTCTACATCCCACAGATACAGCCGCTGTTGGAAAAGGTGGTGTTTCTTGATGATGATGTTGTGGTACAGAAGGATCTAACCCCTCTGTTCTCAGTGGAATTGCATGGGAATGTTGTTGGAGCTGTAGAGACTTGTCTAGAAGCATTTCATCGGTTCTACAAATATATCAATTTCTCCAATCCAGTTGTTAGCTCAAAATTTGATCCACAAGCATGTGGATGGGCTTTTGGGATGAATATCTTTGACCTAATAGCATGGAAGAAGGCAAATGTTACTGCAAAATATCACTACTGGCGGGAGCAGAATGCTGACAAGATGATCTGGAAGAGAGGCACTCTTGCTCCTGGCCTTCTGGCATTTTATGGGCTGATGGAACCCCTTGATCAGAGGTGGCATGTGCTCGGGTTGGGTTATGACCCGGAAATTGATGACAGGTTGATTGAGAGTGCGGCTGTTGTGCACTTCAATGGGAACATGAAGCCCTGGCTTAAATCATCTATAAGCAGGTACAAGAATCTTTGGGAACAATACATCGACTTCTCACATCCACTTATTAAAGACTGCATAATGCATTGAGATTTTAAACATTGCTTGGTATCCTTTTGTATCATATTGTAGTAGCTTGATGCTTATTTTTCAACTCGTACCATTTGAGGGAAAAGGGCCAGACAAAGTAGGCAGCATCACCAGCAACATATATGGGGGGATTCAACAATTCGTTTTAGCAGATGTAATAATTTTCGTATGCGATGTAACATTTTACCGGACCTCAAATTTTGGAAATTAAGCCAGATAAATTGGATGGAGATTTGAGAACAGAGATATATGAGAATCAGCTTCTTTCTTCGGCTGTTTAGAAGTTGTGCAGGTACCATGAAGTTCCGTATGGCTTTTTTGACTGGACAACTGTTTACATAGAACTATAAATGTGCTTTCCGTCACAGAAAATTTAAGATCAAAATCTTGATTGAGATTATTGTTGTCATCATCAAGTAAATGTTCTTTTTCTGGAGATGAATCTTTACATCAAGTCTTCCTTGAGAAGATACTCCTTGTTTTACTTCATTACCAGGGTCATTTTCCATTCTGTCGAGCTTGTAGGATTGATGGAGATGATCCCTGCGGCAGCGCCTCATACGGTAGGCTTGTAAATGATAGAAATGATCTCTTTTATGCTTATAACTATAAAGATTGACATATTGTTTTATTAATTTTAAGCATGCATGTCATACTAATGTCAAGAAACAGAGGCATCTACTGGAGCATCGGATTGGCATTTATAGGTTCACTTGCAGGAAAGCGGTAAGATTTTGGTTACAAGTTTTCGTGTTTCACATTCTGCTTGAAGATTCAGATCAGCTTCTACAAGTCGTCTTTAGAACTATGTCATCCTTCATCTGTTTGTGCTGTAGAAATGCTTCCAAGATGAGGTTTGAAGGAACCAATCCGTGTGAATCCCCAGCTCTTCAAGAGCAAGACCTGTAGATGCTGCTCCTTGATGGTCATTAATGGTCAGTATATAAAGCTGTATTTATTTCATCTGATCGCTATGGTTTCCAGCTTCTTGTCCCTCGATTGATATCAGCTTGGAATAAGGTTCATGTAATGTCATGTGATGGCCTCTGTTTTGAATGCTGCTGTTGATAAGAATGTGCTGATGCTACCTGTCACCTAATTCCTATATCATGTTGACGTGACGGTTCTGTTTCTTTAATCTATTGGTAGTCCATCAAAGGTGACCTCAGTTTATGCCGACATAAGATACAAAACGACGGTAGTAGAGAAATCCGTGGTTGGATCTCATCCAAATCAGTGCCTGGTTTGAATGGCCTCAGGATGTGATCGACGTGTTCGACCAAATGACCGAAGGCTTATACGGCGAGATTCCATCTACATTAACATGTCCACTGCGTAGTTTTGTCCGGAAGCATGCAGAGCCAGCCGAGAGACAAGCGATCATGTGAACTTTGGATTCAGTGGCGTTGGAATTGTGGCCATGGTTCTCCTATGAACACGGATCATGAACTACAAACTCGACATTCCATCGAGGGGACTTCACTTATCCTCGGACGATGGCTGCAAGAGCTCACTGTTCGCTGGCTCTCTCGCTCCTCTGCATCTTCCTCTGTTCCTCTGCTAGTGGTGGCGCAAGGGAGCAGCTCCCCTCCGCGCTCGTCGTCGGAACCGTCTTCTGTGACACCTGCTTCCGACAGGAATTGGCCGAGTCCAGCTACTTCATCTCAGGTTAGCTCTCTCGTAGTACAACCCAACAGCCGGCTCCCAATCTGTGATGCGGCATTGTCCTCGCAACAGGTGCTTCGGTGGCGGTCGAGTGCGGAGACGCTGCGAACCAGCTCGGCTACAGGAAGGTGGCGACGACGGACCGGCGCGGAGTGTTTGGAGTTCGCTTGCCGCCGAGAATAAGCAGGAACTTAGGTTTGGTGGAGGCTTGCTCGGTGAAGCTGCTCAGAAGCAATGAACCGTTCTGCGCGGTGGCGGCCTCGGCGACCACCGCCGGCCTGCGTCTCCAGTCGAGGAGGAACGGCGTTCGTGTCTACTCTGCTGGGTTCTTCAGCTTCAAGCTACTGAACCAACCCGAGCTGTGCCATCAGAAACCACAGCTAGACCAGGCTGCGTTCTTCCTGCCATCGCCACCGAGCTTCGGCGGAGTTCCAGTACCGGCAAACCCGTTGTTTCCACCGCCATCCCTTCTGCCACCAAACCCGCTCCAGCCACCACCGTCGGTTCTCCCGCCGTTCCCGCTGCAGCCGCCTCCATCGCCGTCCTTCGACTTACCTCCAGTTCCCCTGCTGACACCGCCGCCACCACCGCCGGCCTTGCCCTTCCCTCCGGTCCCGTTCGTGCCAGTTCCTCGGTTCCCTGGCGTCCCACCTGCCTCCTCGTGGAAGAAGACATCGCCATGAACGGGCCGTTGCGACCAACCCGTATTGCATGTGCTAAGTACGTGAATCCTGTGACGCTCTCCACGTCTGTGCTTCTATACTTGCGTGAAAACTGATGTAGATCCGACTGATCGTGCTGCAACAAAACCCTAAGGTGTCACCAAAGGATCCTGAAATGCTACTCTGCACTATAATTTGGCCAACAAGAACTTGCTCTTTATCATTATTTGTGAACTTTTACGCCGTGACCAGACCAAGGTGTCAGCCTGGCTCGGTCTAATCCCGGATGTATAAGGTTGTCCACATGAATACTCGAGTGGTGAGGGCGAGCGTCGGGTCAGGTCGGGTTCAAGCCTCGTCCCCCAAGTGCGATCTTCTCTCTTGATGAGTAGCCTACTTCTTCGTCGTTGGACTCCTGCACACAGATCGAGGTCGGGAGGGAGATTTTCTAACTCGACCCTTCGAAGCTTAAGTTAGTTTTTGGTGAAATGAGAGAGAGTTGAGTGTTCGAAGTCCTCTCCCTCCTGATTAAGGAGGATTAGCTTTTATACTTGCGAGAATGAGTTGGTCATACGGGGTCAATTAACTGTCGTTGGCTCCTTGGGTGGTCGACTTTAGCTTTTGTACGAGCTCCGATCGACCTGCACGAATCGGCATTGCACGGCGTCGCCCCAAGCTTTCCGGAACAACTATACTGTGATTATGTCGTTCGTACAGAGGGGACGATAAGTGACTGCCCGTCACGTATATGTTGTGCGCCACATCGTACTTAAGATTCCATGTCTGCATCATCATGCCTGCTTGCATGAGTCCACGTGGGCGATGCCAAAATATGCCCTATCAATCATGGATCGATTCAAACCGATAATCTATCGAATCCAATATTCATTAGAATTATTCATGTAATCATCTCCCATTTGATTTTGACTCGAGTTATTGGTCGATAGAAAAAAATTAAATTATAAAAAGATTTTTTAATAAGATATAGAAATAACTCTCATAATTATTTATTTAGATCTCTGTGCTTATAAATAGATAGTAGGAGATTACATATTTTCATTCGGATGTGTTTGTAGAATAGAAGAAACACAATCATAATATTTGATCAAATATTATTTAATTTTAATTTTTGATATTAATTTTTTTTGCATAATAGTATAATTAAAATTTTTATGTTACATAAATAACATATATAACGCTTACAGAGACTTATCGTTTGTATAATAAATGCACTTATAATTATAATAACTATGATTTTTTTATTATTATAATAAAAAAATTAAGTACCCTTTAGAAATAAAATATATTTTATAATAAGTAAAAATTGAGATTATTTATTTTTATAACTCAAATGGTTTAATAATCAGTTTAGACTTTCAATCTCTATTTTTAAAATTATGATTTAAATAAATATTAGTTTATAATATTTTTTTTATAATTATGAATGAAATAGAGATTAATTTACAAGAGACTAACTATTACTAACGATTTTGATTTAATGCATACGAGTTGTAGTCTATCATCCAAATTAAGGATGAATTCTTCTGTTAGCTTACTCAGTTCGAGTTTATAAATTATAATTTTGAGTATCAAGACTTTTCGATCAAAACTAATATGTATTATTTCTTAGCGACGGCATGTACTGCAGAATATTCACCCGGCACCTCATGAATCATGGCTGCGGCAGCTTCAAAAGCATTTGTCCAACTCCAGCTGTTACGCGTCTAATTATTTGGTCTAAATTGATTCATTTGTCTTGGTCTTCCCAGCACACCCTCTTATCAACTCCATTAATTATGATTTATGATGCTATAAACTGTGTGCTAATTCTGTACTTTATTATTTTATGAATGTAAAAGATATATTATCTTCTCATTTTTCTTTCTTTTTATTACATCTTTTAATCATCATAAAACATACCGGTAGTTGTGATGATAAAGTAAACTATTGTGATCGTGGCTAATAAATTAGGCTTAGGATAAATTATCAACTAAGAAAAGACATATTTTTGGATCTATTATACTATAAATTTTGACCTCACGTGACATGACAGAGTACGACTGCATGATCTCCAATTTGCCTGATTCAATTCGAAATCATACGTATTATAATATGTATGGTGGAGTAGAATAGTCTTACATCTCTCTGGGCTGCCGGTGCTCTCTTCTTTTATATCACCGTCAGAAGTCAATGCTTCTCCTAAGTGCATCTCCACATCACATCCCCACTTCTTGGAGCCAACGATCTTATCCCCTCAAGGCTTCCTCGCTTAAACAAATGTTGCTCTATCTACAGGACTTCTTTACTCGATGCTTAGCATGCGGTAATCCAACGAGTTGAGTCAGAGGCTGCCTTGGCATCGACGTGCACGACGATTGGCCGTGGCCAGGTGTTCCGCGTTGGTGCTGCAGTCAGGATATGCTTGTTTAATGACGGGGAAGTGCGGAGGAAGCTGGTGAGATGCTGTGGGCGCTCGAGCCGACGAGGTGTTTGTCGAAATGACTCAACGTCGTACGTGTTGCCACCGTGGGCGGGCCGGCGGTGGAGCGCTGCTGCACCAGCCGAAGGACTATATGGACTTTGTAGCTTGCACGTGCTCGGAGTTCGTGGCTCAGAAACTGTATGGACTTGTTGGTTTTCTGTGATGGATTGATTGAGTTCGATCCGTGGTGATTGATGAGCAAGGACAAGACGGTACGAAGATTAGCTGTGTCGAGTGGGGCAGGGTTCAGCTATGCTGGTGGATTTCCGAGTGTGCGGGTCGCAACGACGTCCGATCGATAGATTTGGATTACGTGTCTGGGCCGCATGCGACCCACATCATAAATCCATGTCGTCCATGGATGGGGTGGAAGCGTCCGGGTCCCACGAGGGCACATGTACGATGGCGCCCCCCTGTTGGCACCGCTCAATGCCTCCCCCCCGGGCCGTCGTGATCCTATCTGACGGTTGTACGCGGCGGGCCGTCCCGGTCCCACCTGTCCTACCTTATCTTATTCGGGGCGTAACCCCACGTTGGGTGCGACGTCCACCCGTACTACTAAGCCAACCGCACCGCGGTGCGCCCCTTCTCAGATGGGATCACCGCCCACGCTCCACCGACCCCCTCCTCCCCATGTCGGATTCCGGCGGCCGCCACTCACCACTGCCGCCCGTCTCGGCCGCGCTCTTGGACATCGAGCTCGACGTCGACGGCTCCCCGTGGCCGTTCGACCTGAGCTCCTTCGTCGCGAGCCCCTTCTCCCCCTTCTTCCTCTCCTCCTCCTCCTGTCCGCCTCCCCCTTCGTCGCTCTCCTTCCAACTTCCTCCGTCCCCGCTTTGGATCTTGGAAGATAGGGCTCCCGAGATCCCGGGTGCTCTCGCTGAGTGCTCGAGATTCCTCGATGGTGAGATCCCACCCCATCTTGATTTGACTTGTGCCTTCCGATTTGGATCCCGCCTTTTCATTTCTCTTGCTCGTGGTGGTTTTCTGATAGATTTGCACCTCAATATTTTGTCTTTTCCTCCTCTTTTTTTTTTTTGGTCTGTTCTGACGAGACATTTGCCGGACAGATTCTTAAGTTTCTATTTTTTTTTTCCTATTCTTTTGGATGAAACGCCACGATGAGTTTACTTAATAGTGAAGTGATTCTCTTTTGCAACGTTGGATGGAAAAAATACCTTTTTGGATCATCAGGTGGTGATGGATTTCTCTTTAACTTGGATACTCCAAATAAGATTGTTAGATTTGGTTTATTGGCAAACAAAGATATTTTCGTTTTTCATTTATAGACTGCAACCTCTAAGAAAACCTTAATGACCAATCATTGAATTGTGATTTCTGTGGTTCTTTCATCTGATATATCAAGGAGATAGCATCATATAGTTCCAAAAAAGGTGCCTCTGTAGATTGGTAGATATATGTATTACCAGCAAAATTTGTATCTTTAGGATTTTCTATAATTGCATAGCCATATTTTCTCTCGGTTCAACATATTAATCTGTATGTTGTGGTTTGTAACTTTATATCTGTCCATAGCACTACAAAATGACGTGCTTTGGAGTATGGTCCCATTATTATCACCTGTTGTGGTTTGTTGTAGACATGGACTAATTGATTGCTGATGTTTAGGTAGTCCTGACACGACGATTGCAAAAGCTTACGTGCTCGATAGCAAGGCAAGACAGGTCCAGATTCCAGTTCCGGAGGAGAATTGTGGCTCTTCCTGTGTGATCAAAGAGAGGATGACACAGGCACTTCGGTACTTTAAGGAGTCAACAGATCAGCAAGCACTGGTTCAGGTCTGGGCGCCTGTAAAGAATGGGAGCCGTTGTGTTCTCACAACTTCAGGACAACCCTTCATTCTTGATCCGCAGAGTACCAAGCTTCTTCAGTATCGAACGGTCTCTCTAATGTATATATTTTCGGTTGATGAAGATGATGATGCAGATATGGGTCTCCCTGGCCGTGTCTTCACAAAAAGAATGCCAGAATGGACTCCAAATGTGCAATACTATAGCAGCAAGGAGTATCAGCGCCTTAACCATGCCCTGCTCCATAATGTACAGGGGACCTTGGCATTGCCAGTTTTTGAACCATCTGGTCACTCCTGCATTGGTGTGGTTGAGATTGTTATGACATCGCAAAAGGTCAATTATGCTTATGAGGTTGATAAAGTTTGCAAAGCTTTAGAGGTTGATATCCTTCCCTTACGGGGTTTCTTTCCATTTTCTCTAGTCGCTTCTAGAGTTTCTGCTGAACTTCTTCCCTGGATTATGTTTTTCATTGGTAATAGGGATAGGTACTCCTGCATGTGTTGAGTCATACAATGTCTTTTGATAAAAGAAGGCATATGCCATTTGATTTTGCTTTCACTGTGTTCAAAGGTCTGGAAATTTTATAGTTAGAGAACCATACTGCAATCTAGCATGAGCTGTGATCTGATTATATGAAAAATACAATATGTTTGATACAGAAGACTACCACAACTTGGAGCTATGAGTAACCAACATTTTTTTTGGGAAGTAACATATTCAGGGAAAAAATGTGTTGTATAATTGATTCTCTTCCTTCCCGGGCAATTTTGGTGAAAATTATGAAAATATTGCCACAATGTCTTGAATATTATAGACAGCAGATAGGTAAGAGATCTATCTCTAATCATTGTATTAGCAAAAAACACAAGTCTTATCGAGCTGTCTTTGGCTTAAATTATGACTTCCATGAAACTTGGGCAGGTAGCTAATTTCTTGCTATCTTAATCTTGAACTTTTATTGTTAGCATTTGTACTCCGATAGTTGTCAAGTAGCACAGGTTGAGCAATCTTGCTTAATGCCTAGGTAGTAGCTTAGGCATCTAGAACATTAGATTGCAAACCAATAATAAACTCAATTCAGAGTCATTTTAACGTTTTATCTTCATAATTTTTTATGATAATGTGAAAATTTTAAACCAATTAGAATGCCTATAATATATCGCAGTAAAATAGTAAACTAATATAAAAGATAATCTTAGGTCTCGCTGTTGTCTTAGATCTTGCCTTGTATTACTCTATATATCACAATCAGACTTTATTTTGTTATTATAAATAAATGCATATATGTACACCAATTTGGAAATACTGATTTTACTTGGTTATTTAATTTTTGGCAAGTACCAATTAGCATGGTCTAGACATGCAAGGCCCTGTTTGGTTCGAAGAGCATTACTTGTAATACCCTATTCCTATTTTCATTCATATCCTACGTGCATGACTGGAATAGAATGTCATCTTTCCATTTACCAATGCTATAAAAAATAGTGTAGCGAAAAAGTGGATAATTTTGAAACATACTAAACAAAACGATAGGCTTTCCCTATACATATTGATGTTTGCCACCTGTACATATGTTATAACCACATAATCTCAGATCACACTGCATTTTCAATCAAAAACTCATGCACATAAAAATGTGCTCACAATTCTTCATTTATATCTGCTTTGGCATGGGCCCATACCTGCTCATCTCCTTTCCCATCATATGGATGGATTAACCATATCCTTACCTGCAAACATGATCTACAACATGGTAGTAAAGTGCTTTACACTATTGTCATTTGGTTCGTGTGGGATAAAAAACTAAGGTAGCAAAAAGTATGGATACTTATCTAAACTTGAATCGTGATTATGGTAGATGACAGGGAAAGAAAATGATACGACTACTTAAATATTGGGATAAGGTGGACTCCATCCTCCTTGTGGAGTTGCTCTCGAATTTGTACAGCCTGTGGGTAAAATAAACTGTCAAATTCTTGGTAGATTGCATGATTCCTGGTGGATAAGTCTGCTTACGTGCCAGTATCCTACCTCTATCTAATGCGAAAATGCTACCTCAGGCTTTTTACCTTGGAGTGCCTAGGTGCACAGGCAGTCTCTGATCTGCTTGTCTGATTTTCTCTTCAGTTTTTTTTCTTTTTCAGCTAACCTAATTTCTGTAGTATCTTTTTGCTATGAACTTGCTCGAGCTGCAGAGCAGTATTCTCTTGTTATGTTACTCAACTGATTCGGATGAACTTTGTTAATATGCAACTTCATGCAGGCTGTAAACCTGAAAAGTTCTGAGATCTTGGACCATCCGAATGTTGTAGTGAGTTTTTACCACTCTGTCACTGTCAAAAATATTCAGTCAAATTATTGTTTGTTATTTACTTACATGTTCATTAGGTTGATATTTATTAACAAACCAGATAGCCAATGATGGACGCCAAGCCGCTCTAGCTGAAATTCTGGAAATTTTGACTGTGGTCTGCGAAGCAGAAAAGTTGCCGCTTGCACAGACTTGGGTTCCATGTAGGCATCGGACTGTTCTGGCACATGGTGGTGGTCTTAAGAAGATTTGTTCAAGCTTTGATGGAAGTTGCGCTGGACAAGTCTGCATGTCAACAACTGATGTTGCTTTCTATATTATTGATGCTCACCTGTGGGGATTTAGAGAAGCTTGTGTGGAACACCATTTGCAGAAGGGACAAGGGGTGGCTGGCAGAGCATTTGCACTACGAAGGGCATGTTTCTCAAGAGATATTACCGAGTACTGTAAAAGTGACTATCCTCTTGTACACTATGCTCGGATGTTTGATTTAGCTGGTTGTCTTGCCATATGCTTACAAAGTATCCACTCGGGAGATGATGATTACATATTGGAGTTCTTCCTTCCAGCTGAGTGTAAAAGTTCTGCTGAGCAACAAAGTTTACTGAATTCCATTTCAGCTTTGCTGATACAGTGTTTTCAAAGTCTGAAAGTCATAACTGGTGTCGAATTTCAAGAAGGAATATCTCTTCAACTTGTTGACTTGGTTACGGATGATAACTATGAATCGATACCTAAACACTTATCTAGCCCATGTGATGACACGCATAAGTCTCCAGAGACTAATATCTATGAAGCTGAAGACAATGATGATTCACGAAACGAGGGCAATGCAACTTCTGATTTGGATAAGCAGCAAGTGGCTACAGACTCGAATGTCAAAAAGAACGGCAAGATACCTTTAGACTCAACTGCATTGACTGACAATACCAGCAGGACACCTGGAAAGCGGAGAGGCAAAGCAGAGAAGATGATCAGTTTGGAGGTACTTCAACAATACTTTTCTGGGAGTCTTAAAGATGCTGCAAAGAGTCTTGGTGGTAAGCTTCCATGCTCGTGATTATGTATGAAATCTTGCTTCTGCATCTCCATTTTCAGTTTTGTGTTTGTCCTGCATGCAGGCAATACACATGGTTCTGTAGTAGCAACGGTAGTGCATTCATGGGTTGCATGTTTAAATCCATGATTCATATCGTTCGGGCTTAATTGTTCTGTTCATGATCTGCAATCACTGGGACGTGCATATTGAACTGTGCTTGTATACTTGCATCCATCCATAACCATATGGTTTTTCATTTGTCACAGTTTGTCCAACAACCATGAAGCGCATTTGTCGGCATCATGGAATTTCCAGATGGCCATCTCGGAAGATCAATAAGGTTAATCGCTCTCTTTCCAAGCTGAAGCATGTGATTGAGTCAGTCCAAGGTGCAGGAGCATTGGATTTGGCGTCTCTGGCATGCCCGCTTCCTGTTGCTCTTGATTCTGTTCCATGGCCTGTTAACTTGGATAATCTAAAAGACGTCAAAGACGGTGTCAAGGAGAGAGATCTTTCTCCAGAGAAGTCTCGTGGTAGCGAAGATCAGCGGAACAAGTCTGTTTCTCTTCAGGTGCATGTTGAAGAACGTGTCCATCTTCAGGTGGAGGCTGGCAGGGATTCACATTGTTCGACAGGAAGCTCTTCAGAAGGAAGCATGGATGACACCCCTACTTCCCAAGGTTCGTGCCAGGGAAATCCGGTCAATAATGATATCTTTGTGAGTAACCAACAAGCTTTGTCTGACTTAAGACAAGCACTGGGCATCGGCTCTTCCTCAAAATTCACGTCACAAAATGCTTGTGATCAAATTCCTCTGAACGAAAACTCACTACCAACCGCCGTTAATGTCGAGCCCCAACTACCAGTCGGATTACTGATCAAAGATTCTGCTAGCTCGAAAGATTTGCAAAACCTTTGTACTTTTGCAGCGGAGGCTTCACAGGATGAACGTGGTATGGCTGTTACTCAAAACACCTTACACCCATGGGAGATGCAAGAAAACAGGACAGTGATAATCAAGGCAAGTTACAAAGAAGATATAATTAGGTTTCGTTTGCCACACAGCGCTGGTGTCTTGGCAGTGAAGGATGAAATCTCGAAGAGGCTGAAACTGGAAGTGGGCACTTTTGATATCAAGTATCTGGATGATGATCATGAGTGGGTCATGCTGACTTGTGATTCAGATTTGGAGGAGTGCATAGAGATCTCAAGACTGTCTGGAGCTCACATAATCAGGTTATCTGTGCATGATATAATGACCCACCATGGAAGCTCTTGTGGGAGTTCAGAGTTTGATCATCACAGTTATGTACCCAGACAGTTCAGTATGGGTTAAAGTGTGCACATTTTTGTTCCAGTGGTCATCTTAAGGTTGCTGTAGGTAAATGAAACTCTAGTTTCAGTGACTGAATACATCTTCAGATGCTGCTAACCTGTTGTTTTGGCCTACATTTTGTTTTGTTGTGAAACTCTTTGTAAGTTGCAGGCACAACTGCAGATTCTTTGACATGGCAACAGTATCTGTTTACAATGTAAGAAAACTCAGCCTATAGTAATGAAAAAGAAAGATTACAGCAAAGAAACACACTGATAAATCTATAAAATAATTTAAGTACAAACACCAATGTAGATAATAGCATGGATTCAAAAGGTTTGTTTTCATTGATTAATTATATATTATTTTTTATAATTAATTATTTTTAATATTTTTATTTTTATATTTTTAAAAATTATATTAAAAATTTTATTCTTATGAAAATGAAACATCGAGATCTCTATACAGAGTTATAAGAAAATAATTTTATAGAAATATGTTTTGTTGGAACAACGGATTAAATGTTTTATTTTTATAAGTATAAGGATCTTAATATAATTATTGAGATATTAAAAATAATTAACTATAAAAATATTATATAATTAGTTTTATTTTTATCAACCTAATAACTTACTATGTATATTGTTATTTTGATTTATTTTAGGTCTTTTTTTAGCAACATTCTTTGGTAACCTTGGGATACTAATTTGTGTGGATCAAGATTATTTCATTGAAAAGATTATTTACATAGAACACAGTTTTGTAAAAGAATAAAAAAATATTTTATCTGAAAAAACTTTCACTATTAGTTTTTTATAGCCACATATCCCTTTTGTCATGGTTTTTTTTCTTATTTTGATAAAAAAAAAAGTCCTTAATTTTTAGTAAAATGATTTGTTCACATATATTATTCAAAAATTAATAATTAATTATCATAATTTTTTAAAATATAGAATAAATAATATTAATACTACATGATTCTAAGACGACGATAATTATCATTTATTCTATTTTTAAGAAGCTTATGACAATTAGTTGTCAAAACTAAGAATTCTTTTCAAGAACATCTATGATCATATTATATTTAATTTAAAGTAACATTTTATGATGACGTCAGCCTCATGTAGGTTTTCGAGGTCTCCCTTGAGTTGGGTCGGGCTTAAAGGCCCATTAAGTCCAGCCCGACATATATCATCGAACAGACCAAAGCCCAACCAAGCTTGGGTTTCGGCCACATCATTCGCAGCGCTCGGCCGGCGAGTGCGGAAACGACGGCGTCGGCGGCCCGCTGCCACATTCGATGTCCTCCCGTAACATCTCCTCTCGTCTGCCTCGCTCGCCTTCTCCTCGTTTCTGTTTGATTTCTCCCGCAGTGTGCGAAGTGACGTCCCCGTTCCTGGTTGATCCGTGGCGCCCACCGCTAGATCTCAGGGCCCTCCGGTCAGTCTCCATTCTTTCTTCTGGGTTGGAAGTGTCGACTCATCGCTTCTTTACGTTCCCTTATCTGTTCCACTTTCTTGATAGTTGGGTCTTTGTTTCTTTACAGGCACATGAGGTCATTTTCCGCATCATATATGGTGTGTTTCCATCAGTACTGTTCTACGTTTCGAGTTGTTCTCGAGTCTCCTGCTTGTTCCTCGAAGTGCTGCTCAACCTTTAAACCTACAACTAGAACAAGACGAAGTCTTCGTTGTCATGCGTTTAGTGTCGGGAAGCTTACAGTAGAAACAAGAATGACGACAAGGTGCGTTATAGAATGGAGCACATGACTCTGCTTGAAGAACAAACAGGAAAGATGATAAGGGATAACAGAGAAAATGTATACATAGACATAATAAGAAACTGATGCTTTCCAAAGGGAAATGGTTTCATTTTGTCTGCAAAGGCTGTTAGATCTGTAAGGACTGTTAGATTATATGATTGTGTTTAATTGAATAAGATATATTATAATTTTTGGTTAATAATTTTTTTTTTACTTATAGTAGGATTCATGTCCTCAGGGACTCTCGAGTCACTATAATGATCCTACGAAGGATAGTAAAAGAAAAAAAAAAGAGTATAGTTTACTTTACAAATCAATGTTGTTATGTTCTACGGATTGAACTATAAAGTGTATTATACGAATAAAAAAAAAGTACGAATACTAATCTTGTTCTATTGTTATTTGATTTCATATTTCGACATTAAATTTATTTCATATAATAGCATAATTATGATTTTATACTTATAATTAAAATCTATTATTTTGAAATCAAATACCTTACATTCTAAAAGTTTAGATATATTTGTATTCTCGCTTTTCGCTTGTAAAAGTTGATTCGATCTATTTTGTTTATCGTATCAATTCTAGTTTTTCTTACCCACATAGGTGGTATTGTGGACTTTTTATCGATAACATCGTAGGGAATCACGATTATGTCGATAACTCTTCTTCCTATTTCCCGTTTCATGTCTCTTGACCCCAAAGATTGATATTAGCTGGAAAAATGTTTATCCACATTGGTCATAGCTGATTCTACTCCATTTGTTTCTTGGAAGCATAGATTATTCTCATGCTGTGCTATGTTATGCGTGCTCACGAGACGCAGCAACATTGAAGTTGTGCAAGCAGCATGCACAACAACAACAACAGCACACAAAAGAGAAAATTAACCGACGATGATATGATCCCTATTAGAAGCCATGGAATAAGAAATATACTATTACGAAGTGAGAAGTGAGAAGTGAGCAAAAAAAAAAAAACATCCCAACGTGGATTCAAGATATATTAGGTTTACATTGCTGCAGATTTTAGTCCCCGTGAAGAACTTGTTTGACGGAAGAGGCTTGCTTCCAAGGATCTATGGGTTCCTGCTACCAGTTCCTGGCTTTCCCCTCCTGGGCTCATGTTTGGGGTTGTGCCCTCCGTAGTCATAATCTAGTGCATACTCCACCAAAGCCCTCGTAGTTTGCATCTGGCCAGAAACATTGCATGATATGACAGTCATTACTTCTGCATTGTAATGTTACTAACGTGTAATCTTGTTTCTTTCGGACAGACATGCAAGTCACCTTGGAGAAGAGTTGCGCAGGGTTTGGTGATTCTGTTGGATCATCCTTGATTTCGGCACGGCCTGCAAACACACGGTCGCTCAGAGAAGGACGAGAGAGGGGCGCGGGCATGGAAGAAGCTGCAAACCTGAAACCGATGCGTCGAAGAGAAGGATCAGCAAGAAGAAGAAGACGAACAAGGTTTGACTGATTCTTCTTGCCATCGCTGCTGCTGCTGGTGCTGCTGCTCCTGCTCGGGCGGCCGAGGGTTCATTTTATGGTCGAGCATACGGACTTGGGATGTGGCACGCGGTCCTCCATTCATGATGACGCTGCAGGAAGATGAACAAGTGCATATCACACCACCACCAGCAGCAAGTCAACTGCACTCACTCACACTACTCCGGCTCGTCTGTTATCCACCAAAAAGATTTCGAGAATATTGTCGCCGTAAAAGGCTCCAATCCCACCATTGTTAGCTTCACATCGCATGATTTGCATGCGGATGTCCAAAACGGCAATCAACAAGAACGAATTAGTCGAAGCGAGCCATACAAAGTGGATCCAAGTGTGTGGTGCGAGGAAGAACAAGTTGGGGGAATGCACCCAACTCTGGTGCTGCGTGCTGTTCCGTGGATCCTTGTGGGTTATCCTGAGCTTTAGACCAAGATATGGATGGTGGCCATGAAGTCACTACCGAGGACGCCACATTCCTGTAGTTGACCGACCTGCCGTGTCCATCGCGATGGTGGCTGGCTGGCCATGCAACAGTGCGTGGCCTCGGTACATGCCTTGTCCGGTCTCCTCAGCTTTCACATGACACCCATGACTCCATCTCGGCTGGTCAACTCGAGGCCATTATTGTCATTTGAGTGTCTTGTGATGTGCCCTCCCAAATGTACTACCCATGACTTCATATCGTCGGGTGTTTATGTGCTGCAAATTGCGAGGGGGGGGATACAATGAATATTCTCGACAGAGTCACACGTGGATAGGAATAAGCCGAATACGACAAAGTAAATCTATTGTGCCCGTCCTGCGTCGGATGACACTTGGCAGGCGGAGGTGCACCACTCGAATCCCACATCGCGGATGGAGCGATCGAAATTTGATGGTTATCGACATCATCGGAACCATAACGATCGAATCTTGAATGGTTAAGATTGAATTTGATCATTCGAAAGCTGGTCACTCTCATATGTATAAAAGTGTTCATATTACTTCTACATTTTAGTTAGATTTTAATATTATTACGAGTAATTATAATTGATTAATATATTTTTCTTCCGAATATAAATGTTTACCAACAAATACTTGCCGAACCACACGAGTGTTTTCATAGCATAACATTATTCATACGAAATTGTGCCTTGCAGTCGGCGCAAGATCATAACTTGTGCATTCAACAGCAGAAGTGATCAGATAAAGGTGCAAATCCATGGCAGCAGAAGCACTGCACAAGCAATCTAATAGATGGAGAGGCATAATTAAATGCAGTGACATCTCTATGGATGGAAAATGGCCAAGATATATGCCAAATTACATGTTGGCAATGCATGAGAAGAAAACCATGTGTAGATTCCACATAAGTGTACATACAAGAGGAGGAAGATGAAATGCAAACTCAAAACAATGCAAGACCATGAACAGAACTTCCAAAGAAATATCCAAAACATTATGAATATAAGGATCGTGGAGTGCCGAGGGTACATTGACCATAATCGAGAGCATCAACCTGAAAGATACTGAGGCAAAGGTGAGTGTTGATTTCAGGTATTGTCGACTCAAGACACCAAAGAGAAGCCCAAAAAAGAATGGCGTTAGAGTAACCTCATCGGTATAATGCAATGAACCACCAGGGAGACCAATGACAGGCAATCATGCGAAAGGGACTTCGGGTTGCATGGCCCTTGGAACACAGCCCTCTCCAGATTCTTTTTAGAAGAGAAGCATCAGCCAGAGGTGCCCCCTCTAGCTTCTCCAAGGAAATAAGGAGGTGAACCCTTCTCCATGGTGCTTGTGGAAAAACTTCACAATGACCCTCGGTGACTCCGCCCAAAATGAAATCCTTTGTGCAAACTGGTGATGACCTACACATGAATGCAATTGCAGACCAGACTTGACATGACCCCAATGCATGCAGACCTCTAAATTAATCAAGAATCATCATCAACCAGAAACTGCACGGCTGATGGCTAATTTAGCCCAATCAGCAGACTCTTTGATCAATCCGT